ATCCCCAAGATCTGCTCCAGATCCAGAGTGCCACGAAAAGCTTCCACTTCCAGACGACTCCAGAGGCTCAAAACTCAAAAAGCAATGCCATGCCTCAAGGCCAAGGGTAAGTAAGGATCTGAATCTACTAAGCGACTTTGCTGAAGCTTACCCCGCTGTGGGGAAGTGGGCAGTGAGCTTTTTTCAACCTGCAGCTGTCGTGTATACCAGAAGTGGTGTACGACGGGCAATATGCAAAGAGATGAAGATGTGATTAGATATTTAATATTAAACTGATCTCTGAAGCTCTAAGGGGGATCAGAGGTTCAGTATAGATAGAGCTATGGAAATACTACGGAATCATAAGACGGCCTTCTTCGGGGTGTTCCGATGGAGCCTCTTGGAACTGCGCGGGATGGCTGGGCCATCCAGGGCGACTGGTGCTACGTATAGATTTAGACTCTTCCGCCATCCGAGCGGTTCGGCAGGTCCCCATCATTACTTAGCATTGCCTAAGTATTGCCTAGCATTTCGGTGAAGATCTCCCGTCACACATGACCTCTTCATGGTGGGCAAAGATGGGAGGAACGCCCAATCTAACGCATATAAATACGTCGTCCCGGCTTCAAAGTGTTACCGGGCAGTCAAGGACCACCAATTCTCTTCAAGATGGCTTTCAATAATATCCTTCTCGGTGCCTCCGCAGCCCTGTTAGTTACCAGAGCTTCGGCAGTCAATAATGGACTAGCCGTCACGCCTCAGATGGGATGTGAGTTGTTCATGTGTTTCCATATTTCCAGACAGCTGACATTTCACGCAAGGGAATAACTGGAACGCTCTTGGGTGTGACGTTTCCGAAGATCTCCTTGTCCAAACCGCGAATCTCATTGTTGACTACGGCCTGAAAGATCTCGGATATCACTACGTCGTATTGGACGACTGTTGGAGCTCCGGCCGGAATGCCTCGACCAACAATAGTCTCATTCCCGACGCCAAGAAATTTCCCCGTGGCATGGCAGCAGTCGCAGATGATATGCATGCGCTGGGACTGGGTTTCGGCATGTACTCTTCAGCTGGCAGATACACTTGTGCAAGGTATGAAGGCAGTCTTGGATATGAGGAAGTTGATGCTCAGACCTGGGCCGACTGGGGGGTCGATTATCTGAAATATGATAATTGCTATAACGAGGGTCAGGCAGGAGACCAATTGATCTCCGAGTCGCGGTAAGTCTCTTCGGAAGCGGGAGTGAGGAAGTGCTGACAGGTATGAATTTAGCTACCAGAAGATGGCAGATGCATTGAACGCCACCGGACGACCAATTCTCTATTCCTTGTGCAATTGGGGCGAGGACTACCCCTGGAACTGGGGCTCCACCATTGCCAACAGCTGGCGCATTTCAGGCGATATCTTTGATTACTGGGACACTTATGATCCCCGATGCCCTTGGTAAGTCTCCTCACTTTACCCATATTGACTCTCGCCAGCTGACAGGATCAGCGAGGGAGCTGATGCGTGGAACTGTGGCCTCCCCGGTTTCCACTGTTCGATCACAAACATCATGAATAAAGTCGCCTTCATCGTCTCGAAAGCCGAGCCAGGTGGATGGAATGACCTCGACATGCTCGAAGTCGGAAATGGAGCAATGACTGACGCTGAATACGTATCTCACTTCTCCATGTGTATGTCCTCCGCTGTTGCACCACCCCACGCCTCCCTCCCAAAAAGCTAAGCGAGACAACGTAGGGTCTGCCGTAAAATCTCCTCTCATAATGGGCAACGACATCCGCGAGATCGCGCCCCAAGATCTCTCTATCCTCTCCAACGCAGCCGTTATAGCAGTCAACCAAGACCCTCTCGGCCAATCCGCCTCCCGGCGCTGGATGCGCGTCCCGGGCAGCACAAGCCCCTACGCCGGCCCTGCTCTCCAGCTCTGGACCGGTAACCTGCAATCGACGACCGACAGCGACCAAAACGACGTGCTCGTCCTGATGATCAACGGCTTGGACGAGCCGACAACCATGAACGCCTCGCTCGCCGAGATCTTCGCCGACAGCGGACCCGCGGGCAAGGCCCCACAGATCCAGATGAGCTGGGAAGTGAGAGACCTGTGGGCGAACCGCATGAGTGATGAGACTGCAGCCGCGATTATTGCTGCATCGGCCGCGACGGGTAATGCTACGACTGGGTATAATGTCACGACGGTTGAAGGTGACACTAGATACAATGCTACAGCCACAAGCTACAAGCAGGGATTGGCGGATAAGAATGAGTTGTTGTTGGGCAATGTGACAACGACCGTTATGCCTGGTGGCACTGTGAGCGCCATTGTGGAGGCTCATGGGGTTGCGATGTATAGACTGAGATATGCGGGTGGTGGCAAGAGGAAGAGAGAAGAGTTGTGACAAATTCAGGGCTACCGGTCTTTCGAATAGAGGGTACAGACTCTTAGTGATTTTAAACTAATCATTGAATTATATAATCACAAATGAATCCCAAAGTGTTTCTAACTCTAATGTTTTTCTGGGTCATAAGATTTGCGCAAGCATCCTCGCTCATCTCACGCTGTGACCCGCAATCACTTCACTAATCTAAACCGCGCATTCTAACAGTACCCGTACAATGACACTACTGTTCCAAGAATTTACTTGGATAAATTAAAAAAAGAAAATAGTACTTAAAGTGTCGTTTGGATTGAATGTTTTCAATAAAGTCAAGCTAAGGGCGGGCATAAAATATACGGCTTCGCACTTACCGTAATACGTAGAGTAAGTAAAAAGATAATGTGATTGATATTCCCATGGCAAGAAGCAGAAGCGATACGAAAGGAGCAAGTAGCGAGCGTGAGCTCCCGCATCGAAGGGACATAGTAATAGAGCCCCAGAGTATGAGTACGAGGATGCATGTCAGAGGAAGCGTATTGGCCTTTCTGGATTTTTGAGATGCAAGACAAGACTCTGGTGTAAGGTGACAGGTATGACTGGACATTACCCTTGAATCTAAAACACAATATTCGTAACTTCGATGACTGGCAGTGATGTGCAAGCCAAGACCATCCAAGTAGTGATGTAGAACAACAAAACATATTGACATAGGATAAATAGGATAAATAAGGAGAAGAAGTAGAGAAGAAGATAACTGAGCAAATAATAATGAGCTCCGAAAAATACATGCTTCACATTGCTTTGGAAAGGTATCCAAGCAAAGCACCCGTGTGAAGAATTGATCCATGCTTGAAATGATCCAAAAGCAAGAAATCTGGGAATGGCTAGCAGAACGATCTATAAATTGGAAGCCAAAATAGTCGAACTCTCAAATTATATTGGAGCAGGGGTCGATCTTGAGTACCAAAAGGAGATGTGCCTTCCAGGAGCATGTTAAGAAAGGTGGCCAGGCGGATAGGAACTTCCCAGCTCAAGTTACCGTAACTTCATATTGATAAGGGTTTGAGTTAGTTGGATTGATTATCGTTGCCGTTGAAATAGTGCCAATTAAGCGAACCCAGGATCTCGGGAGACATCCGCATCTGCCTCGACCTAGCCTTGACGGCTTCTTTCTCATTTTCACCCTGCTCAACACCATCACAACCTCAAAATCCAATGAAGCCCCAATGGACAGCCATATCAGCCAGCAGGCCGCGGTCTCTTCAAAAACCAACTTGCATACCTCGCCACGCTAACTTCAGCCAACGCGGAATCTCCGCCGCCGCAAGAGATTTCTCAGCCTCGCATTGCACGGCTCCGAGAAAAGCTCCCCATAGCTCTCCACGATGCTCCAATGCTCCGCGCAGCTACAACAAACAAGTCTTCCCTCAAAAACGGCCCTTCTCGACGATCAGGCATAGAAATGATGGCGCAATGGCACAGCACAAAGAGACCGTGGAGGAGATATCAGCAACCGTAGCGTCCTACCATGCCCGCGGCGAGAAGTTCCGCATCTACCATGGCAGCACAAACAGCACCCGTCCGAACGCAAAGAAGAATCTGGTAGACACCAGCGCCCTCTCGCATGTCCTCCATATCGACCCAGAAACTAAGACATGCCTAGTCGAGCCCAACGTGCCTATGGACCGGCTCGTAGAAGCGACAATGGCATACGGGCTCGTCCCCCCTGTTGTGATGGAATTTCCAGGCATCACAGTCGGAGGGGGCTATTCTGGTACAAGCGGAGAAAGCAGTTCCTTCAAACATGGATTTTTTGATCAGACGATCAATTGGGTAGAGATGATCCTCGCGGATGGAGAAGTCGTGCGACTGTCTCCGACCGAGAAAGGAGACCTATTTCATGGCGCTGCGGGTGCTGTAGGGACGTTTGGAGTCACTACGTTGGTGGAGATACAGCTACAGGATGCGAAGAAGTACGTAGAGACGACGTACCACCCCGTGCAAAGCATGGAAGAGGCCATCGCGAAATGCAAGTTTTTTACTAAGCCCTCGTCGAAAGAGGATTACGTTGACGGCATCATGTTCTCGCAGACACAAGGGGCCATCATCACCGGGCGACTGACCGACACGCCCAAATCAGATCTAGAACTGCAGTGTTTCAGCGCGGCCTCCGATCCTTGGTTCTACTTGCACGTCCAAGAAACGGTGAACGCAAATTTCGCGCCTGTGAGTGAGATCATCCCGTTGGCCGAATACCTATTCAGATATGACCGTGGTGGGTTCTGGGTGGGCAAGAGCGCGTTTGAGTACTTTAAATTCCCGTTCAATAAGTTCACCAGACGGTGGCTAGACGACTTCCTGCACACGCGTATGATGTACACAGCACTACACGCAAGCGGGCAGTCGAAGAAATACGTGGTGCAAGACTTGGCGCTACCCTACGACACAGTTGAAGTATTCGTCAAGTACACCGACGAGGAGTTTGGGATCTGGCCGCTGTGGCTGTGTCCACTGAAGCAGAGTAAACTGCCAACGATGCATCCGCATTACCCATCTTCCTCTTCATCCTCCCTATCCCCCCGAGGAGAGCATGAGACCTTGGAACCACTGCTCAACATCGGCCTCTGGGGTCCCGGCCCAGAAAATCACACAGACTTCATCACCAAGAACCGCCTTCTGGAAGCCAAGCTCAAGCAGCTCGGCGGCATGAAGTGGCTGTACGCGCACACCTACTACTCCGAAGACGAGTTCTGGTCGCAGTTTGACCGGGAGTGGTACGAGGCGCTGCGGAGGAAGTACAGGGCCGAGGGCATGCCGAGCGTTTATGAGAAGGTTAAGGTAGTAGAGGAGGTTGCGGAGACTGGAAGGGAGGAGAAGGAGAAGGGATGGCCGTGGGGCGGCTTTCATGGGATCAGGAAGGCAATTGAGAGTAGGAGCTATGTGGAGGCGAGGAGGAGTACGTGGAAGACGCTCGAGAGGCCAAAGGTGGAGAATTAGATGTTTGTGTGTGTATGCGTATATGTATTATCTGAACCGAACCGAACAGCTTGTTCTTTCTGTATTGAATAGATAGGATAGGTATATGGATAGGTAACTTGGCTGTAAGAATAGAGCAAGTTATAGATTTCTCTGAGAAGAGAGGAAACTCATTGTGATCGCAATTTTTAAAGGCTCTAATCATACGTACAATTACAAGAAGATTATTCTTGCGTTATCTGTGTGTTCTCCCATGGCATGGGCTATGATTGATTTGTGCGACGGCTAGCTGCCCCCGCCTGCCTGCCTATTTTGCCCTCGGCGAATCCTGTACCTCGCTTGGCAACCCCTTTTTAATAAAGCTCTAGATTGAATACACATTCTTCCATCCACAATTCTTCGTCTAATCTATTGATCTATTAATCTATTTCAACCATCAACCCCCAGCCCCTAGCACCGAGCCCCCGGCGCCAGTTTAAAAGTTACTAGCGATCCAACTCTTCACCATCTTCGCCATTACCCCCTCGTCCTTCTCCTTATACCCTATCTGCAGATCAAGGTTCGGCTGGTCGTGATACTCGCCAGCCAGCACGTGAAACTCGAGGCCCATGGCGTCGTCACCCGCGCCCTCAGTTCCCGCGCGGACCTTCGCCGCAAAGTCGATGATGCTGTCACGCAAGACCTCTTCCCTTCCACCCAGGATCAGCATCTTGCTGACCGGCAGCCCGGTCCACCACTCCGGCTGCGCGGATAGCGCCTCGTTGTAGCTATCCTTGCCATCGTGGTGGGGCCATGGGGAGCCCATGAAGGCGCTGGACCAGGACGTGCCGGAGGGGATGGACACGCAGTCCTTCCACGCGTTCTCGACGTAGGACCGGGCGGCTGTGTCGAAGGAGATCCAGGGGCTGATGAGCACGATGCCCTTGAACTTTTGCTTCTCGGGGAGGGTGACTGCCGGGATGGGGAGGGAGGCAGAGGGGTGCGGGTGCGAGATGTGCGAGAGGAGGGCCACGCAGAGGTTGGCGCCCGCTGAGTCACCGGAGATGACGATCGAGGAGGGAGCGTAGTGCAGCGTGTGTAGGACGTGGTTTAGTAGGGAAGCGGCCTGCTGCAGCTGGCGAGGGTAGATGGCACCGGGTGCTAGATCTACATTTTTGTATCAGCACCTTCACCCATCACCCATCACCCATCACCCATTCCTTTTTTCTCTATCCGTCTCTTCATCTCTGTTCTCGCTCTCTCTCAGATGATAAGTTAGAGGAAGGTTGGAAGATATCATCACCTACCGTAGCTCAAGAACAAACAACTCGCATCTTTCCCCTCCCGCTCCAGCACACCGACGACCTGGAACATGAAATCCACCATGCATTCGCTCGCTGGCATCACAAACCCGCCGCCGTGGAAGTTGATGAGCAGATTGGAAGCGTGGGGCTTGCCAATCCAGTGCGCAAGCGTACCGTCGGATAGGACCTCGGAGGAGGGTTGCTGGCCACGCTTTTTGCAGATGGCCCTGTAGGCATCGTCTGTTGGGGGATTGACGTAGCTAAATTTAGAGGTATCAGCATTGCGTTTCTATTTGGAACAGGAGAAAGGTAGGGAGGGGTACGAGGGGGTGAGAAGGGAAGAGGAGAAGAAGGGACGGGATGGTTTAAGGGTATGAGGAAGAGACACTGAACGTCGATAAGGAGAAAAGGAGAAAAGGAAGACAAACTGCTGCTGCCTCGGAGTCAAATTTTCAATTAAAGTGCGGATGCCCGCTAGAACGACATAGCGATAATAGCTCTCGGGCCTGCGCTCTTTTGCGTACCAGACCCCCGTGAACAGGGCGAGAAGCGTGTTGGTTACTTCGTGAACAAAACGTCAGTACAAGGGTCCGATTTCTCGCGTAAAGAATGCCTCCAGTCCACCTTTCTCCAAGAAAATGAGAACAATTTGACTTCAAGAGAGGGTGAGTGATGAGAGAGAAAGAAAAGTAAAAAGAGGGGGGAAATTTATATTCGACAAATTGAAATGGGTGGCCAAGTAAGGTAATGGGCTGACTGCGGTCCGGTATTCGCTTCATCGATAAAACAATTAACAGGAAAGGTAACCAAAAATAGGACCGAGAAAGAAACAAGCAACAGAAACAAGTAGCGCAGATGAAGTAGGCAGATCAAAGTTAAGGTTAGGTTACATACGAGTCGCGACAAGGGCAGTTCCAATACCCAACTTCTCCAGCAAGCTCAAGTCCCGCGCCGTGGCCTTTTGCGAGCGGTACGACGAGGACTTGCTGCTGATGCGGCTGTTTAAATCTGGACCTGCCATATTTTGCTGGGTTATTTGTAAAGGTGGAGAGAGAAGGAGAGAGAGAGGGAGAGAGAAAGAAAGAGATGAGTTAGATTTGTTGACATGGAGGTCTGTAGTTAAATACGAAGTATAGACTAGTTTCAGGTTGGGTTTGGAGTGACGATCTAGTGACGAGCCGAGGTCGATGTATTTGGTTGGTGCTCCCGGCTTCCCGGAGGAAGAAGAACCCAGGCGAAGGTACCTGTGGTAATGGGTGACAAAGTGAGCTACGTATCGATCTCTAAACCTTTCTAATTGCTTACGCAAGACTGCGTTATAGGGCATATAGGGAGCTACCAAACCCCCGTCATTCAAGTCTCATACAGTACAACGATTACGGGCTCGAAGTACCGAGGCAAGACTCACCGAGGATGCTGCGATCAACAAGCATCTGACGAGGCGAGGTGGAGTTGGTCGCGAATGCGGGATCATTCCAGACAGAAGTTCGTGTACGATGAAACTCTTTACTTCAGCTTCTGCATCCCCCGCTTCCTCTTCCCGCCCACCTCTCTGCCCTCCTCAATCTCCAGCATGGCCTCCCTCTTCTTCTCACCCACCAGCTTCAGCGCTTCCCTGACAACCCGCGTCTCAAGATTCACGCCCTCCTCCTCCCATCTCTCCAGTTCCCTGCCCACTCTACCCTCGATGGCCTGTACGAGCTGCACGTCCCTCTGCCCTACGAATGTTACCGCGTCTCCTTTTCGGCCCGCACGAGCGGTACGGCCGACGCGGTGGATGTAATCGTCGGGGTCGCGGGGGATGTCATAGTTGATGACGAGGCCGACTTCTGGGATGTCGAGACCACGCGCTGCGACGTCTGTTGCGACCAGGATGCGGGCGGCCGAGGCGCGGAAACGGCCGAGGTTATCGATTCGTTGGCGCTGGGGAAGTTTGGAGTGCAAGGCTGTTACTCTGTGCTCCAGCAGCCGTAGCAGGTGGGTCAGGTAGTCGGCCGTAGCCGTTCGGTTGCAAAATATAATGACCGATTTCTGCAGGTTGACATCTGTGAGCAGGAACATGTGGAGGTAGTGTTCGCGGTGTGTGACTGGAACTTGGAGATGCATTTGACGTAGCTGCGCCGGAATAGCGAGTTTCTGCGTGTCGACTTCACAGACAAACACAGGTGGTTTCCCAGGCGTCCGAGGCATATCCTTGAGCGCGCGCACTTCCGGGGTAATGGTAGCTGTGAAGAGGAGGGTTTGTCGCTTCGCAGGTGAAGGTAGGATGGAGAAGCATTCTTCGACATCTGGAAGCATGCTGCCCACGCTCCCACTGGCAAGTAACCTATCGGCTTCATCGAGGACGACCATGCGTACACGGCGAAGCCCGCAGATGGTATCTTCGCCCGAAGTTCTTATATGGTCTGCCAGTCGGCCGGGAGTAGCGATTACGATGTGTGGGCGTTGGGCGAGTGCAGTGGCTTGTGGTCGCATGTCTGAGCCTCCTGTGATGAGTACGGCTTTTAGTTGCTGAGGCGAGGAGATGGCTTTGATCTGCTCGTAGATTTGCAGCGCAAGCTCCCTGTTTTCATCAGCCAGATTCCAATACGTTCAATTTTAAGAATAGTACCTAGTCGGTGTCAAAACGACAGCAAATATCCCAAATGGGTCCTCCGCCCACGTCTGCAAAATGGGCACCGCAAAAGCCACCGTCTTTCCGGATCCAGTCCTGCTCCCTCCAATACAATCCCTCCCCTTGAGTATCTCCGGGATACAGCCTTTCTGAATGCCCGTCGGTCGATTAATGGCCATTCTCTCCAACGCGCCCACAAGCCAGGGTTTTACGTCCAGCGAGGCAAAGCTCGTTTGGCGATCGACTGAGACTGAAATGCCTGCATTCTCTGCATGCTTCTCTGTCACATCTTCTTGAACCAGAGTCGGAGCCTGAATCTTGGATTTGAACCGCGAAGGTACAGAGAGAGCAGATTTGAAGGTGGCATCTTCTTCCATCTCGATCGCTGGAGCGACTTTCCTACGTTTTCGCGAGCCATGGCTGTCGAGAGAGTCGCTGTCGAGGGAGTCGGACTCAGATCCTGATCCCTCGGACGAAGAATTGGACGACTGATCTGGAAAATCGGAGGCATCGTGAAGTAGTTGTTTGCCAGGGGCAGGCCGCGCTTGTACTTTTGTTGAGGGAGCCATCGTTGATTTCTGGTTGCGGTTGGTCGCTTGAGGCCCTGATCAAGTTTTAAGGTTTTTGGGAAGATTTCACATTCCAAAAAATCCTTATCTTAACCGAGCCGCGCGCTTAAGATAACGAGGATATGCGGGGCCATCCATGCCATGCTAATATGAAACATTAGGACTTGGGGGCTGGACTTCTGCCAAACAATTGTAGGTACCTCCGTATGTTTCTATGCTAATTATAAAATACTTTTCTTTTTTTTGGGATCGGGACGCGAATCAGCAAGCAAGGTTATTGTGCAGCTTGCACTGGATGTGCTCTTTACTCCGTATCCGCTCACCCAGAGCTGGTCTGGTGGTGTTGAGGGCACGTCAGCTGACAGGCAGGTCCTGCCTGAATCCTGAATCCTTCAACCGGGTATCAGACAGCAAGACGATACCACTTCAGATCGACTCAGCTTGAGATGATAGGTACCGGTAAAAGGTCTCAGTCTCAGCATCTGCGACATTCCAAAAGCCAATCAATACGATGAACGATTCCGTATGCTTACCGTAATGTAATAATGAATGACCCGGCATGACCGTGACTGCAGTGTCTTTCTGCTGCCATCAATCAGTCGGCCCAGGCCAGGCCAGGCTAGGCCAGCCGAGACCAGGCTAGCCCAGGCTAGCCCAGCCCGGCCCAGCCCAGCCCAACCCAACCGGCGTCAGAACCCCAACTTTGTCACTTGGAGAACTACTACCTACCTCTCCCCTCACTACTGTGTGATACGAATGATTGCCTACCTACCGTATCTACCTCCCAACACTACCAACGACCAACGACCAGCGACCAGGAAGGATATGCAGTAGCCGTCGTCAACCTCAATCAACTCATCTCAACTCGACTCGACTCAACTCAACTCCATTCCACTCTACTCCCCTCCACGCCTCAACGGCCGACCGGTAGGGTGACGGCAAGCTTGAAACACAGCGTTACGCAGGCAGGCCTTTCCCCAGAGCAGCGTACAGATAGACACAAAGGCAGACGCAGAAGCGGACGCGGACGCCCAAAGCCAAAGGGAAAAGAAAGATAGTAAGAGGCAAAGCAAGCCTCTGCTGTACTCTACTCTGCCATACCGAGACCTTCCCGCCTCGACTCACTCGACTCAAGAAGCTCGAAGCCTCAAACCCTCTCCAGTCCTCGAGTCCCTCGATTCCCAGCCATTCTACCTACCTACCTACCTACCTATTATATTCTTTCCTCCCGACTCACCCGGCCTGCTGCCAGTGGCAGACAGGTCTGCCCGGCGCGATGCAACAGAATATCTCATCAGAAACTGGCTCTGGTGCCATAGAAGACAAAGCCTTGCCGCCACTTCCAGTCTCCGCTCCAGCTCAATTTGTATGATTTTTTGTTTATTTGTTTGTCTAGTAGCCTGCGCAACTCCTACCAAGTCCAGTCCAGTCCACGAATCCAATGCTGACCCTTCAAAGCCGCCACACCCATCAGACCCCTTCTTTCAACCCAAAATGTCCTCGCCAGCACCTCTCCTCCGGCCTCCCGTCCCTAGCTCTCGCTCCAATGGCGGTGCTCGAACTCCCAGATTAGGCCTCGCCATTCCACCTTCACCCACCGCCAGACCCGTCAATGGCGCTGCTACCCGCCCACCAGGTCTCTCGCTACAGATGCCTAGCATACCATCTAGACCAGCCCTACCTCGATTACAACTAGCTACCCCGATGGGGACTAGTCAGGCGCCGTACGAGCAACCGCCTTTACAAAATGGCCGTCCCAGTGTACAGGGTACTACGGGCTATGCAGCGAGTGGAGGAAGTGAGAGCAGTGCTCCAAATTCGAGGTCGGGAAGCTCCGCTCCGTCAGACGGTCGAGCCAGTGGGCCCACATCGGCAGGCTCACAATTCTCTGCGTTTTCTCTGGCATCTCAGTATGGGTTACAGCCGCAAGGTACGCCCGACCCATCATCAGCTGTGGGCTCTCTATATTCAGAGCGTAGCGAAGGTGGGGTGGTACCGGATCGAGATGGAGGCATGACCGGACTCGAAGCATTCGACAAATTGAGCTTAGAGCGGGGGAGAACACTCGACGTGGAAGAACTGGACGATGACGGCTGGCGTGTAGCAAGCATGGAGAAACGCATTGAGGAAATAAGCAGCTTAGGAGAAGGGGCCGGAGGTGCAGTTACAAAATGCGTTCTGAAAGGCGGCAAGACAATATTTGCTCTCAAGGTCCGACCGTGAACCTCTGCTACCAAAAACCTCAAGACTTCGCTAATGAACCTCTAGATCATCACAACAAACCCTGATCCGGATGTCAAGAAGCAGATCGTCCGCGAACTAGGCTTCAATAAAGACTGCGCCAGCGAGCACATCTGCCGCTACTACGGCGCCTTCGTCGAGCCCTCAACCGCCACCATCTCCATCGCAATGGAGTTTTGCGAAGGCGGTTCCCTTGACAGCATCTACCGCGAAGTAAAGAAGCTCGGTGGGCGCACCGGCGAGAAAGTACTTGGCAAGATATCCGAAGGCGTTTTGAACGGCCTGACATATCTCCACGGCAAGAAAATCATCCACAGAGACATCAAACCAAGCAATATCTTGCTATGCCGCAACGGCCAAGTCAAGCTGTGTGATTTTGGGGTGAGTGGCGAATTTGGAACGAAAGGGGACGCGAATACATTTATCGGGACGTCGTATTACATGGCACCTGAACGGATTACGGGACAATCTTATACCATCACCTCCGACGTGTGGTCGACAGGCGTTACTTTGCTGGAAGTCGCACAGCATCGCTTCCCGTTCCCAGCGGACGGCACGGAGATGCAGCCCAGGGCTGGTCTTATCGATCTACTGACTTACATCGTGCGGCAGCCGATTCCGAAGCTCAAGGATGAGCCGGACGCAGGGATAAAGTGGACGGATAACTTTAAATATTTCATTGAGTGCTGGTAGGTCTTCTCTACCATCTCTCCCTTGACGCCCTCCCTTTCTGCATAATCTTCCAAGACAGTACGGCTGACGCCCTAATGCCCACAGCCTTGAGAAGGAACCCTCCCGCCGCGCTTCCCCCTGGCGCATGCTCGAGCACCCCTGGATGATCGAGATGCGTTCCAAGCGCGTCAACATGTCGCACTTCCTTTCCACCGTTTGGGGCTGGGAGGAGAAAAAGGAGAAGGAGCGGGAGCGCAAATGACTACCTGGCTCCGGGGAACCTCCTGCCCGCTCGACCTCTCGGAAGGAGAACGGTATGAGCAAAGGCGACGAGGAAAATCCCCAAGCCCGCCCTCCGAAACAGCGTCCTGCCCGCCCGGTGTGCGTGCGGTTCAGTTCGGCCATAGGGTCGCAAGGCCAGATGAGCGTTATCGCGGAACAAGAGTAGTGTTCTAAGCATGTCTTGCTCAGCTGCCTTGCGAGGCAGGGACATGTTAGTTGCGAATGAGCGAATGCATGGTGGGGGGATGGAGTAAGTACTCTATTAAAGAACTCGCTAGTCTAGCGAGCGAGGGAGCAGGAAGGGTGCTTGGGGGGTCGGGGGGGGGGGGGGGGGGGGGGAACAGGTTTCCAGTAGCGAGTGGGTGTGGGGGACCGGAGGCGAGTAACCTTGCCATTTACCTAGTTCTAGGTATGGAAAGGATAGACGGGCGGAATTTTGAGATGGGGAGATTTTGGAGGTGGAATTGTAAGATTCAAACGATTGTGAGATGGGAGTATGAAATGGGATTGGGAACTGGGAGATGGATGGGCTGTGGTAGGCAAGCCTCAGCTGAGCAGGCGTTAAAGGCTAGTACCGGTCAGTTTCTATACCAAAATCGAAACGAAAAATCAAGTTTCACAAGCAGCTGAGAGGTGTGCAATTCGTGTACGTGCTGTGAGGAAGTGATAGTCGGGTAACAAAACATGGTTGTTGTACAATACTTGGACCACATTCAAAACAGCGCGTAGCTGACCCCGGAACGAGCACCCCATGTGCCCATACAATTTGAAAATTTAACCACAGCCAGCCCTCGACCCAGACTCGGAATTGGCGTTTCCTATTCTGACCTAGACTGCTTGGCCTTCATCATGGAACTAGACATCTTCCTAACCTCATCTGGCATCTGCTGCTCTGGCACGAAGGGTGGAGATTCGAATGGATCCTTGGCCTCAACCTTGTCAGTACACCACATCTCCTCGAAAGCAACGAAAACTTACATCTGCGCCACCATAGCCCAAGTGCGTCGGAGATTCATTGAGAGATGTGGGAGCGCCAGTCAGCGTCGTCAAACTCTGCATCATCGTCGTCAATTTGCCTTTTAAATCGTATCTTGAAGAACATGGTTAGCTCAACACGGGTCATTAATTTATGATGCTGAGTTGAGCTACCTTTTCCACTGCGACGTCTTGGAATCGTGGTGACGAGCCATAGCGTGGTATTTGGATGCCGTCATCTCTTGTCTGGACCCGTCGATGAGGAGGTCTCCTGGGCGTGGTTCATGAGGCTTGCGTCCGGTGACGATGTGGAGGTTCATGAAGTAGGCTCCGGATTCAATCTCAGAAATCTCGACAGTGGGTAACTCCTCGCAGAGCTCCATGGTCAGCAAATGCCACTGAAGGGAGAAGCAGTATGTACCTTGGGAATGCAGTTTTCGAGCTCGGTCTGATAGAGAACATACTCTTTCATGAGTTGACCAGATCTTGTGTTTCCTCCAACGGGGATCGGCAGGACAATCTGCTTGACATCCCAAAAGCTGAAAACGAGTTAGTAACATACTTCGCAGCTAGCTGAATACCCCGAGGTACTTTTCAGCCCGCATGGAAGACTCACCCTGCTCCCTGGAACCAGGACTTCAGACATGCTGCCGCAACCCCATCTCGAGGTGCCATGACCGCCTTCAATCGCTCGGCGACTCTCTCAGTCCAGCCAGGCACCGTAGTTGCAAGCTCTGCATCGAGGGGATTCTTGAATCTGTCTGCAATGTTATCAGTCCAGTCAGTCTGCGGAATGCTCTTGTGTCTGTCGGCCTTCTCGTTCTCGTCCTTCTTCTGAATGCCACTGAAAATTCGTGGTCTCGGATCAATTTCCAGGAACTCAACAACTCCATCAGGCTTTAACAACCTGGTTGACGTTAGTCAGTAGGACATGGCAGTTCGACTGGGTCAACATACGAGCGAATATCATCCAGGAAGGTCTTGTAACTCTCGATCCTGTCGAAGATCTCTCTGGCTCGGATGAACTCGTATAAGTTGTGCGAGATCGGCTTCGAGTGGGCAAGGAGGGAGTTCAGGTTCCGCAACGTGAACTCTGGTGCCTTTTGGCTGGTGTGAACGAGGCTGAAATGGTTACCAAGATGAGCTGGACCTGCTTCAGGGTTTGGAACCATGAAGTCCCTAATGGACTGTCAGTAAGGAGACGAGCGCCAACACGGATATGGGTCTCGAGAAGAGTCCTGTTGGAGGAGAAGACTGACTCGAGTTCGATCTCTCTATCGATACACGACCAATGGTTTGTATCATCGACGCCCTCGACGAACCAATCCGGTTGTTCCTTCTTGAAACCGAAGCACCACATGCCATCCCCACATCCAATTTCAAGGACGCGAGGTGGACCATGGTACACAGCAACGGAGTGAGTTTCACTTGGAATATCTTCCTGCGCCTTTGGTGACCGAGGCGCGTGCTTGAAGTCCCACGAAGAGAGTCTATTCTTCCAGATGCCGTCATCAACAAGCACAGAGGCTTTTCCATCGGGGCGTGGGGTGATGATCTTGCCAACCTTATCTCGGAGCTACGCAGATGGTCAGCTACTGGTTATAGAGGTCGGAGAGCTGTTGGTATGTACCTCGTGATGATACGCCTTTCTAATAACCCTCAGCAGCTGTGTAACATTCAAATCCTCGCTCTTCGGCGAGACATTCAATTCCCTCTCCTCAACCAACTCCCCGTACTGATTGTAAACCATGCTCACGGTAGTCAGATTAGCAACGCTCTGGATACTCCCCTTCTTCCCGAGTGATCTCTTTCCTGTCTGTTTCTTCCTGCTCAAGAGGTACTCTACCGACGGCTGAGGTGGTAATCGTGGCGGCGTGGCAGGTGCTCTCTTGCGTAGCTCATCCGGGCCCACAATCTCAATCAGAGGATTCGTGCTACGGCATGAAGAGCGACGATTGGCTTCAGTGGAAGTGAAACCGGATACCAAAGCCGCAATAGGATCGACGGTACTTTTGCGGTTGGCGATGTTGAGGCTCGGGGAGATGCAGGTGAGGTGGACGGGCATAGTGCTGCGTTCGGTGTTGCTCAAGGTTGGAGAGGTGCGAGAGGCGCGGATAGTGAGAGAGCTGCCGTCGATGTTGCTTGGAGCCTCAGCGTCCTGGTGTTGGGAGCAATAGGATTTGGGGAGCTCGATTATGTCGCCGGTGTGGGTGGTGTAGGAGTCGGACATCTTGGTCGAGGGTCGGAGATAGCAGCGGGACAGGACAGGACCAGATAGAGCAGATTGATTGTCAACTGGTGGACTGGTGGACTGGTGGACTGGTGAACTGGTGAACTGTGGAACTGATCAACTGGGTATCGTGGTCCTGAAGATTGAGTTGAGAGTGAAGAGTTGAACCAGGCTGCGCACACACAAACAGACGAAGGACAAGGTGCTTGCTTACCGTATGGCCCAGCCCAGCCCAGTCCACGCCAGGAAAGAGCTTACCAACTTTGGCAGGAACGACAGGGCTGAGACCTGAGACCTGAGACCTAAGACCTGAGACCTGAGACCTGAGGCCTGAGGCCCGATAATTGAGGATTGAGGATTGAGGATTGAGGCACCAGATATTTTTGGTAATAACTGCCTAGCAAAGAGTTCCGTCATTGTATGCATAGGAAGAAAAATAATCGCTTGTTCCCACCAGAGATGACAATGGGGAGTCTATTGCTTTTGTCTAGAGAAATAGTACGAGATGAACGGGCGCTGTATGGACTCCTCTACGAGATGACCTTCTCAACCAATTCAATCCCATATTTCTTCAGCTCCTTCATCAACGGATCATTAATCTTCGAAGACATAGGCGCAATGACGCCCTTCTCGTTAATGGTCCCATCAAGCACCAACTTGACGGCAACACCACACGGCACACCTACCAGCTTGGCCATCGCCGAGTAACCCTTCGGGTCACCGTACTCCACCAGCGTTGAGGTTCTCGTCTCCATACTGCCGTCTTGGTTTTTAATCTCGAACTTGTGCTGCAGCATCACGAGATCGCGCTCGCCCTCCTCGAACTGCATCTTCTTCTCCAGCGTAGCGCACAGGGTGTCGAGGGCGTTGCCACGGGGGATGATCTTCTCGTCGGAGAAGACGCCGATCCAGCGGAGACCAGCCAGGATACGCTGCTTCTCCTCGTCGTCCTTGAACTCGGTCTTGGAGACGATCGTCGACTTCAAGCCTTCTTCGGTGGAAGAGGGGGCGCCGATAATTTGCTTGGTGGCCTCCTTCCATGGAATCGGCTCCTTCAGATGCCCGTTGTCGACTTCGCCCAGAAACCCAATGTCGACCAGCACGCGCACGAACTCGGGGAAGCCTTGATAGCGCAGGGTGCCGCGGACGATGGTCTGAGCCTCAGGAATGTTGTAGCGCTCCTTGTATTCGGTCGAGTCTCGGTTCGGGTAACCAACGAATGCGAAGCCAGGATAGATAAAGTAAGGCTTGGCCTCACCCATCAACTTCTTTCCCTCAATTTCTACAATCTTGCCATCTTTGTAATATCTCGCCGCGTTTCTCAGGGCCAGCAAGACGCCGCGGGACGACCACGAGAACTTGTAACCGAGCGGGTTGTCGGATGCCTCTGGGGCGGGGAGACCACCACAGAAGGACAAGAAGGAGACGATCTGTCCACCGGCCTGGTGAACCTCTTCGATCGTCTTGATGGCATACAAGTGGTCGATTCCCGGATCGAGACCAATCTCGTTCATCACCGTGATGCCGGCCTCCTTGGCTGCCGCATCCAGCTCCATCATCGGGCCCGACACGTAGCTAGTGGTCACCACGTGCTTCTTGGTACGGATCGCCGACGCAATGACGGAGGCGTGGAAGGCGTATGGGATCAAGCTGATGACCAGGTCGTTCTTTCCCACTTCGGCATCCAGAGCTCTGGCATCGTTGACATCGAGGGAGACGGGAGTGGCGTTCTTGACTCCTTGGGCGAGCTTCTGAGCACGGTCGAGGGTTCTGCATGCTATAGAGTTGGTCAGCGAGCAAGCTTGGTCGCTTGCTTGGAAGGGAAGTACTGACCGACCGTCACTTCGATACCAGCATCGCTGAGGACATCCAGGGTAGGACGGGTGACCTGTATGAGCAAGATCTCGCGGTCAGTACTGATGCTTCTTGTATGGATGCCAACACGGGAAAATTCCAGATTGAGATTTGGGTCGGGCCATCGATGGATGGCTGGCTGTTAGACTTACGAAGCCCGCGCCCAGCATCAGTACTTTCCTGGAGGATAGTCAGCGATCAATCACATACACTGTCGGTCATTTCGTTTCCAAAGCTTACTTGGGTCCAGCCATGGTTGCTTAGTTCCTCGCTGTTCTTTGGATTTGCTTCCAAAGTGGTTTGCGGTTGTTGTGTTTGGTAAAAATTTCCCAAAGTGCCCCTCCTCTGGGCCAGAACCCCACCAAAGCATACCCACTCCGGAGCTCCGATCTCCGAGGTCCGTCCGACCTCAGAGCGGATCAACTTCAAGCGAGCTTTTCCAGAATCCAGGGACTAGACCATTCCCGACAAGCGTAGCACGTGCCATAGTGGCCGGTACCAGACGGCAAAAAAGACACCATTTCACTTTATTTGTTGCCTTCTGCCATCTGCCATCCGTCCTCTACCATCTGAACTAATTCCTACCTCCATCTCCATCTCCCCACACCGAACTCCCACAGCTTCCATATTGCATCAGATCACAACATATCATCATGTCAGCTCTAGATATGTTCTGGGCAGCTCCGCCCATCTCGAGGTATGTTTTGTGTTGCGCGCCCTGCCCCTGCCCCTGCATTCTCATGCTGATGCTGATTTCAGTACAGAACCATCGCCTTGACGGCCTTCGTCCTCTCAATCTCCGTCTACTCAGGCCTTTTAAGCGGTTACTATGTGCTCTTTCACTTGTCTCTGTTATGGAGGCTGCCACCGCAAATTTGGAGATTGGCCACCTCCTTCCTACTTACAGGGAAAGATTTGAGCATTCTCTTCGATACATACTTTCGTAAGCACCTACGCCTACACCCAATCCATTTATACCCGAGCGCCGCTGGCTGACCGCAACCTAGTGTACACGTACGGGAGCAAGCTTGAAACAGCATCTCCAAGATTTTCTGGTCCCGGAGACTTCTTTACGTACATCGTGTTCGTCTGCTTCACGATCTTGGTAGGCTACATATTTCGATTCTCTTCATTGCATTTATTATGCACCTCTATACTGCCCGCCTAGCTTCTGTCACAAAGCTTTGGCGGTTCCTAAAACGAGGGAGATTACCCCTGCACTTCTCCCGGTCCGATCATTCGCAAAATAAATAAGGGCCGGGTTGCGGTGTAGGCACGGTGGGAAGTTCCTTTGAGAAAACTCGTGTTGATTCATCAACTTCACTCGGGTGGTTGTGACTCCCTATATTTCACTTCGATCTTTGAGAGTGTCCCTATCGGCACCTTTCAATCCATCGAAACCCATCTAATAAGTGCAACAGGGCTTGAACGTGCTTGTCACTGGCGGCATGGTCTTAACATCAGCGCTCATTTTGGCCTTCGCTTACACGTCCACTCAAGATGACCGCGGCCAGAAGGCTTCGTTCTTTATTGTCACCATTCCTGCCCAGTTCATCCCGTACGCTATGCTTCTTATGACTTTGGTCATGGCCGGTCCTGAAGCAGCAAAAATCCAAGCTACTGGGCTTGTCGCCGCCCATCTCCACGATTTTCTCACCCGACTTTACCCGACCTTTGGGGGAGGCAGGAACTTGGTCCCGACGCCAGCGTTTGTCAAGAAGATGTGGCAGAGCACCGCAGCGACAGTTGACCACCGTGCTTATGGAACAGCCTTCGCACCTGCTCAGCGGGAGGCAGGCAGGACCTCTGGGTCATCTTCGGGAGGTGTGTTGCCGGAGTCGTGGAGAAATCGAGGCTCAGGTCATAGACTTGGAGGGGACTGAAACATTAGATTCCATTCACTGCTATGAAAACTCAATACTGTGTCAAGTCTTTTTAGCGTGAATTGTGATAATTTGAAAAGGCCCGGCACTCTTCTGGCCACGTCTGATGAGGCAATTGGACGTGCAGTTTCCCTCGGAAGCTGATTGAGGCAGAATCAAGTAGTAAAGTAATCATATAATATATTAGCAATGAATCGGTGATAGCAAGCGCCACCCGGACACCGTTGACGTATCCCACTGCTATTCAGGAAATCTTTCTTTGTAAGGCCAGGCGTGCTGTGCCATATTTACCAAGCACCAACACCGACCGACAAGCTACCACCCCCTGCTTGCTTAGTCAGTCAGTTTTCCAACTTCATCCTCACTTTTCCCGTCCCAAGTCTCCCGACAATCGAACCGCAACCTCATCGCCCGCCTGAAGGAAGACTAACTAACTGGCCTTGCGATCGAGGGATAAATGAGAAACTGCACCTCGTCGCGTCGGGCCTTGAGGTCACGGCTCCTCCCGGTACCACAATGCCAACACCAAAATCAACATCAACACCAACATACAGCACGATCAAGCTTCTTCTCGGGACGACAGTACTCCAACAAACCGACGCCATGGACTGAGGAACAAGCAACCCGCGTCTACAATTTAGGCCTCGGTGCCACCAGCCAGATGTTCGGCTTCTCATTTGCCAAACTCGACCGGCGCCCCCCGATCACGTTCCTGGTCGAGAGCAACCGGAAGGTGGAGGCCTTGCACGATAGCGGCGGGGAGATCCAGCTCATCAGAAATGGCGTGTCCGAAGTTGCCTGGGGCTTTGATGTTGAGAACGTGCCAGAAAGCCATTATATGTCGGGTGCGAAGAACTTCGCCTCCGCGAGACACGTGCAGCTCAAGACGCTAGTGCTGGAGACACACCAAAAGTTCTCGACCGAGACCACGCTCAACGAGGAGCACATGAACTGGTCCTTTGATGAAATCCGCTTCCAGAACTTCAGGAGACCCGTGAAGTTTCTCGGTGATCCGGCAGATTTGACCTATCCTCTCGACTCGGCACTGCGGATTTCGGGGTCAACTGTCAATAGCTTGGGCCGGCCGGAACTCAAGGTCGTGGATAACGAGGAAGCCGCAAAAAGCAGCGAGCCCATCAGAAATTTGATAGTTACGTTAGAGCCCCAATACATCTCGGCGGCTCTTAACCTCTTAAAACATCGTAAGTGCTTTTGCTCCTTCCACCGGTCCAATTACAGATATTCGTGGTAGCTATTTTTGACCATGCATACTTCCTGCTCGCTCCAACAACGCGGCTTGGAATATATGTTGGAGCTTTTGCTGACCAAGAACGCCCATGATGTAGGTTTGAGATGGGATTCCACAATTCTGTTCATCCAAAAAGGAATGATGATCCAGGAAATGGTCAACAGGGACGTCTTTCCGGACCCAGCAAGACGTCCAAGTTACATGATCGGAACATTCTCTCATAATGTGTCGCCACTCAAAGACACTACACACAATGTCAGCGACCCTCTGGATTATCTGATTGAACAATTCGTTTTCTGGGACAAGAATGACCCTTTAAATTCCAGACTGAGTTTGACTTCCCATTCCGAAGCCCTGCTCACTATCAGCCCCGTGATCAGGTTTCCAGAGGAGAGCGAAAGGCGGTTTAAGGAACGCATGAAAAACTCGGTCTACATCACTGATCTGCTGCTGAGTGCGAAGAAATGGCTTAACACCCGCTTGATAGATTATGAGTCCCACAGACGTCTTCGCTACAAGGTCGTTGCCTACGCTTCCATTGTGCATCCCATGACAGTGATGTTCAACTGTTACAGTAAGTGGAATGCCGCCTTGCTCAAAATTACCATTCCTGAGTGCTGGCACCGGGATCATGCCATTCTCCTCACCCCACGAACTGGATCTAGAAATCCTATACTAACTGCGTGGATAGACCGCGGGGTTCTAGGCTCTGACCCAGATCGAAAGCACGTCTTTCAAACGTTGTTGAATGAAGCAGCAGCGATTATCAAACACGACGATCCACTGTTGGATTACGACACTCTATCGACTTACATCGCTGAGCAGGTCACGAACCAGGGGGATAATATTAGCCCTATGCTTGTCAAAGTTGCACGGGGGAAACAAACTGCAATCGAGGTACGCACACTATCGACCTTTCGCACCTCTTCCCCTCCAACCCGGGGATGCCTCAAACCCGCATCTTTCTCACACTGACCCCTCAACAGTGGAACACCGGTGCCATAATGAAACGCGGTATGGACCTGGTCTCGCGGGGAATCCCAGGCATCCCATTCCCCCAAATGCACCTCGATGTCCTCAATCTCGTGCATTTGAAGGGTCGTCAGGTCGTAAGTGATATCCAAGACCGGCTAGACGAGAAGGCAAAGTGGCAACAGGAAATCTATCTTCAGCAGCACGAACAGCAGATGAGACTCCGTGATGAGGGGGCGCTTCTACCGTCCAAAGAGGACCTCAAGCTGGAGCGCAAGCTGCTCTTCCAGGAGAAGAGAGCTCTGCGACACGATTTTGGACAGAGGGAGCGCCGGGCTGCGGAGAGGAGGAGACTGAACCCGCTCTCGGCGTCTGCGCCGGACTTTACGGCGCCAAAGATTGGGTTAGCAATGGGAAATACGAGTTTGGGTTTAGACAAGGATCGGTGGGAAACGCCTGATAAAGAGCGGTGGGAGACGGGGCCAATGAAGCTTTTGAGGGAGGCGAGAGAGATGAGGATGAAGACCATGCCGGACACTCCTGATGCTTCTACGAGTAGTGGAGTCTCGGAAGGAGCAGAGGTTGAGAAAGGGGAGACGGCACCGATCAAGATTTTGAGGAAGGCGAGGGAGAGGAGGATGAAGGCGGTGCAGGATGCTACTGCTGCTGTTGCTACGGCGAGTGGTGGAGTTCCGTCAGGGGGGGAGGAGGAGAAAGTAAGCATCTAGATAGTGCCTGGACGTGGAATTTCGGACTCGGGAGCCCACTTTGGATTCTCACAGACTCGGATGGGGATGTTTCTACCGCTGTGTGCGCAAGGGAAAGGGGAGAAATTGTCAGGCTCGATCAATAGGGAGATTTGCAAGAAAGGAGACAGATTGATGATGATGGTTTTTCTTGCTCAGCGATCCTACTTGTATATGTATATACCCACCACTTGTATATCACTAGATCCGAATCTGTGAAACCCCCTCCCCCCCCGCGCCGACCGTTTGCTTTGTTAGCGAGCGTTTCTCGGATCTTCATCTTGATAACGAGTAGACGGACTAAGAGCCATCGATCGATATGTTGTTCCTGGTTCCTGGTTCCTGGCGAGGGGGAGATGGATGGATGGATGGATGGATGCGTGGAGCGAGAAGGTGTGTTAGGTTAGGGTTGGCCTAGGTTAGGTTGGTTACCTTGCTGACCAGACAGAAAGGCAGACAGACAAGACAGATTGGGGGGGCATGATTTCGAAGAGCCCCGCCCCCCTTTCTTGAAAGTTAGC